GCCGAATCTTTTCAGTCTCCTGAGAAAGAAGAGGCGCTGCTGCGCCTTCTTCACTGTTTTGTTTGTGTGTACTGACCACGTAAGATCCTCAGCCAGGTGTACTCCAAGGAACCGGAAGCTGCTCACTCTCTCCACAGCAGCGTCGCTGATGGTGATGGGGGTGTGTACTTCTCTGCACCTCCGGAAGTCCACTATCAACTATTGTCTTTGCGACGTTGAGGGTGAGATGGTTGTCTTGACACCAGTGGGTCAGGGCGCTGACCTCCTCCCTGTAAGCCGTCTCATCACCGTTGGTGATAAGACCCACCACTGTAGTGTCATCCGCAAACTTCACAATGATGTTGGAGCTGTTAGTGGCCGTGCAGTTGTAGGTGTAGAGTGAGTACAGGAGAGGGCTCAGTACACACCCCTGTGGAGCACCAGTGTTCAGTGTGATGGGGGATGAGGTGATGCTGCCCAGTCTGACCACTTGGCATCTGTCAGACAGGAAGCTAAGGATCCAGCTGCAGAGGGAGCTGCTCAGTCCTAGATCCTGCAGTTTCCTGTCCAGCTTCGAGGGAACGATGGTATTGAATGCTGAGCTGTAATCTACAAACAGCATTCTCACATACGTGTCTCTCTTCTCCAGGTGTGACAGGGATCAGGCATCATCAGTGGACCTGTTGTGGCGGTATGCGAACTGTAGAGGGTCCAGTGAGTCGGGTAGTGCAGAGCAGATGAAGTCCCTGACCAGCTTCTCGAAGCATTTGCTCACGATGGGGGTCAGGGCTACAGGTCGCCAGTCGTTCAATGAGGAGATGGTGGAGGATTTGGGTACAGGGACGACGGTGGCCATTTTGAAGCAGGCTGGAACTACAGACAGAGAGAGGGAAAGGTTGAAGATGTGCGTGAACACTCCAGCCAGCTGAGCCGCGCATGACTTGAGGACGCGGCCGGGAATCCCGTCCGGACCTGTAGCTTTGCGTGCGTTCACCTTCCTGAAGCACTTCCGCACATCCTCCTCAGACACAGTGTGCGCACTGACGTCATCCGTGGTGCGCACACTGTCCGGTCTCATGGTGTTCGCTGTGTCGAATCTAGCGTAGAATACGTTTAGATCCTCACACAGAGAGGCCGTGGTCTGCGGTGTGCTGGTTTTCCCTCTAAAGTCTGCGATCGTGTTTAGTCCCTGCTACATACTCCGAGGGTTGTCAAACTGTTGTTCCACCCTGTCCCTGTACTCACGTTTGGCTGCTTTGATCGTCTTCCGGAGTTGGTAATGTGCGTGTTTGTAGTCTGATGTGTTCGCGGAGGCAAAGGCGGTGCTCTGTGCCGCGCGAACATCTCCGTTAATCCAGGGTTTTTGATTTGGGAAGGATTTAACTATTCTGGATGGATCTTCCACGCATTTCCTGATGAATCCACAGACTGAGTCTGTGTACTCATCAATGTCCCTAGCAGCCACGTGAAACATTTCCCAGTCCGCGTGATCAAAACAGTCCCGCAGCGCAGACTCCGATTGGTCTGTCCAACAGTGCACCGCCCTCCGGGTTGGAGCTTCCTGTTTCAGCTTTGTAGGAGGACTTTGTACGCATCCCGGAAAGAGGTGTAGCAGTGGTCGAGTAGCCGGTCTCCACGAGTGTTAAAATGGATGTGTTGGTGGAGTTTGGGTGAGACTTTCTTCAGGTTTCCCTTATTAAAGTCTCTGGCTGTGATAAATGCTGCCTCTGGGTGTGCGGTTTCCTCGCTGCTGATTGCGCTGTACAGTTCCCTGAGTGCTCGGTCAGTGTTGGCTTGTGGGGGAATGTAAACAGCCGTAATAATCACTGCTGTAAATTCCCTCGGTAGCCAGAATGGCCGGCACTTAATCATCAGGGACTCCAGGTCCGGTGAGCAGAAGGATTTGACCGGGTGCACGTTCGCATAATCACACCAGCTGTTGTTGATCATGAAACACACACCACCGCCTCTGCTCTTCCCAGTAAGATCCTGTGACCTGTCCGCGCGATGCACGGAGAACCCCGGTAGTTGTATTGCGGAGTCCGGTACCTTGTCCGATAGCCAGGTTTCTGTGAGGCAGATCACGCAGCAGTCCCGCATCTCTCGCTGGAATGAGATCCGTGCCCGAAGCTCGCACAGCTTGTTCTCCAGAGACTGCACATTAGCCAGTAATAAACTGGGTAATGGTGGTCTGTTAGTGCGCCATCTCAGTCGAACCAGAACGCCAGATCTTCTCCCTCTGCGTCGGCGTTTGCGGCCTCCAAGGCCAGAGAACAAAGGCGTCTCAGGTGAGATGAATGGGGGGTCTGCGAACGGAGGGTCCGTGTTGCAAAACTTGAACTCCGGAAAGTTATAAGAAAGTCCGTCTTTTATGTCCAGTAAGGTTTGTTGGTCGTACACAAGGAGACATGTGCTAGTCGTGAAAAAATAAAGGAAAAGTAAAATTAAGCACAGAAAACAGCTGTTGCTTGGGGGAGCTCGCGACGAGGCTGCCATACTCGGCGCCATTATCATAGACGTCCCGTTTGAGCGCATTGGCATGGACCTCATGGACCTCATCGGGCCGTTTCACCGGAGTGCACGCGGCTACCGCTTTGTGTTAGTACTGGTGGATTATGCAACGTGGTACCCGGAAGCAGTCCCGCTGCGCACCATCTCTGCAAAGAGTGTGGCGCAGGCACTGTTTCAGGTCATCTCCCGAGTCGGAATCCCGAAAGAGATACTTACTGACCAGGGCACATCGTTTATGTCTCGTACACTGCGAGAACTGTACGAATTACTGGACATTAAATCTATTCGGACCAGCGTCTACCACCCTCAGACGGACGGGCTGGTGGAGCGGCTGAATAAGACTTTGAAGTCTATGATTCGTAAGTTCATTAACGAGGATGAACACAATTGGGACCGCTGGCTAGACCCTCTGTTATTCGCAGTGCGGGAGGTGCCCCAGGCCTCCACGGGATTTTCTCCCTTTGAACTGCTGTTCGGCAGGAGGCCACGTGGGGTGCTCGACCTGATTAAAGAAAGCTGGGAGGACGGTCCGGGCCTCGCCAAGAATGAGATTCAGTACGTGCTGGACCTGAGAGCGAAACGCCACACTTTGGGGAGGTTGTCACGGGAGAATTTGCTCCAGGCTCAGCAGCGTCAGCAGCGCCTGTATGACAGAGGGGCTAGACCAGGGGTGGGCAATCTCAGTCCACGAGGGCCGGTGTCCCTGCAGGTTTTAGATGTGTCCTCGAACCAACACAGCTGATTTAAATGGCTAAATTAGCTTCTCAACATGTCCTTAAGTTCTCCAGAGGCCTGGTAACGAACTAATCATGTGATTCAGGTGTGTTGACCCAAGGTGAGATCTAAAACCTGCAGGGACACCGGCCCTCGTGGCCTGAGATTGCCCACCCCTGGGCTAGACTCAGGCAATTTTCACCGGGAGACAAAGTGCTTGTGTTACTCCCTTCCTCCAGCTCAAAGTTGCTCGCCAAGTGGCAAGGGCCCTTTGTGGTCACACGGCGAGTTGGGGACGTTGACTATGAGGTCGCTCAGTCGGACAGGGGTGGGGCCACGCAGATTTATCACCTCAATCTCCTTAAAAAGTGGAGAGATGTTGAATCCGCGTCACTGGTGAGCCATGTTAAGGAGAGAGATGAGTTGGGGCCAGAGGTGCCAAATTCCGTCATCCCCGCCTCCCTCCCTTGTGATGACCATCTCACACAGGCCCAGAGAGCGGACGTTGTCGCGTTACAACAGCGTTTTGCTGATGTGTTCTCCCCCCTGCCCGGCCGAACGTCTCTCATTGAGCATCATTTTGTAACGCAGTAGGTTCGGCCGGAAGGCTCCCCGGCCTCAGTCGGGCGGTGGGGGTATGTGGCGGAGGTGTGGTCCGGGGCGCGGCTGCAGGGGAGGAGTGGTGCAGTGAGCTCAACGGGGCGGTGCTGATGAGAACAGCTGATGGCGATTTGGACTGATGGTGGTTTTCCTTCCTTTTATATAGTGAGGTGGGGAGGAGTGGAGGAGGAAGACGCTGTGGGAACCGACCGCTGTCAGACGGTGTTCTGTTATAATTCCGTGGACACTCTCAATAAATGTGGAATCTGATGATAACAACCTGTGTGTGGGTGTATCTGTGCATAGCCTACGTCACATAATGCTTGTCTGTTTGGGTTTTTGTTTGTTTTTCTTAAAGGGACATATTATTAATATTTCTTTTATTTATTTTGGGCACATCAGATCTCTGGCAGTAATCATGGCAGTTTGACGTCTACGGCTCCTGTTGCTAATGGAATAGGCAGAGACCATAGCCAAAGTAAGCCTAACACTGAACTAAAAAAAACTTATTGCTCTGCTGTCCATTTTATGCATTTAAATTTTTAAGTTTAGAGGAGTGATCTTAAAACTGTGCAGACTTTCCTCTCTGCCAGTGTGACAAAGCATTGCTCATATTGCTTTTGTATTTTATTTTTCCAGCAAAGATGCCTCATCCCAGGCTAGTTCTTCTCAGAGCATTCATCCTGCTGCTAACGAAAGCCAGGATTTCTCCACTCCTGTCACAAGGGCTAAAACTCCATCTGAACCCCTGCCTCACTGTACAGAATCCTCCGCCGTTAGCGCTTCACCCTCAGCTACTGCTACAACTACCCCTTCTGTTGCAGCTAAAGAATCTGCTTCCGCTCTTTCTTCTTCTGGGCAAGATGGCAACCCTGCAGCCTTACCCCCTCAGCCGGGCTGCTCTCAAAGCACCAGTGGGGCTTCTGCAGCTCCACAGAAAGTTAGCGTAAGCAAGGATGAAGCCAAGGATCTACCACAAGATAAATGTGCAACAACAGGGACTGAAGGACGTAAGGATACTAAGGAGCAGTATCAGTCCAAGCCTAGTTCTAGTTGCAATGAAAAACGATCTTCCCGAGACAGGCAAAGACTGTACTCTAGCTCTGGCAGAGATAGAGAAAGACACAACAGGGATAGGAGTCACGAACGAGAAAGCGACGACGATCGTCACCGGTACAGACGGGACTACAAGGAAGGAAATTTCTCACCTTCTACAGCACCAGAAACAAACAAGTTCAAGGGCTCCCCGCCACGGGCTCGCCTTTCCTCTCCAGACAAAGAGGATCAAAATCGCAAGAGGACTCTCAGCAAAGACAGGGACGACAGCTCTGATGCCCGCCACACTAAAAAACACAAAAAGAGTAAGAAAAAGAAGAAATCAAAGGATAAAGACAGACACCGTGAGAGTGGGTGAGTATTGCCATCTTTCTCTCGATCCTTTAATGAAAACAGAAGGAAATGTGTTTGTTTTAAGCTAGATTTTGTTTGAAAATAATATGGGGTTAAAGCTCACTATCAGTATTATTATTTTCTTAAAAACGTAAAGAATTTTCATCATTTTATTGATAATGGGTCACTTTTTCTGTCTTAGGCTGGCTGTAAAGCTTGATCTCGGTTTTGTTAAACAATGTCATTGGTTCTCTATCATCCCGTAGAAGTTCTGACGGAGATTCAGACAGAGCTGCGGAAATGAAGAAGAAAAAGAAGAGACATCGGGACAGCGATCCCGACCTGCACAGCCCAGACGCAGCTCGGAGCCACAGAAACAGAAGCAGAGAGGAAGGGGAGAGCTGCAAGCGACACCACTCTGACAGAGACTTTGAACATGACAATGGCTTTCCACCGGAAAAACGTCGCTGCACAGACTACGCTGACGGCAGCGTAGTTCATGTTAATGGGAATGGATCTCTGAGGGACTATCCCACAAGCTCCAAGCCCAGCGGCAGTGCGGTGGGGAAACCAAACCATGGACTAGCTTCTTCTGCTTCCTCTGCTTCCATCTCCCACTCAGTAAGCAGCGAGGAAGGGGAGAGCCGCAAGCGACACCACTTTGACAGAGACTTTGAACATGACAGTGGCTTTCCACTGGAAAAACGTCGCTGCACAGACTACGCTGACGGCAGAGGTGGCCATCTACTACATTCCAATCAAACCACACCGGCAAACGGTTCAAGTTACGGCCATCTCAATGGACAGCCAGGTATTCATTTATTCTCCAAAATCACAGGAATGCTGAATTAAATGGTGCTGACAAGTTAGTCCAATTTTAAAGCATCAAACCCTGTTTTGTAGGTTACAGCGAAATCAGCGGCAGTGGATTTCCCAGTGACCTGAAACACTGACTCTGTGAGTGGATGTCTTTTTAAATGGTCAGCGTTGATGTAGCTACTAATACTTTCTCTTCACTAAGACCTCATCTTTGTCATTTCAGATCCATCAACCGAATTTTAACAACAGCAGAGGAATGACATCAACTTTTTTGACGTGGTGCTTCTTCATTAGGAATAATATTGTATCTTTACCTTAAGTAAAGTGTTTTAAAATTTAAACTATCCCCCTTTCTTTCTTTTTTTTCTTTTGTTTTCTCAAATGGGCTTATTTATTTGCCGTAATTTCTCCTAGCTATCGGTTAAAGAAACGGTGTTGAACATTTATGATGAAGAATATTAATATATACCGTAATTGTCGGGCTATAAGCCGCTACTTTTTGCACAAGCTTTGAACCCTGCGGCTTTTAGTCAGGTGCGGCTTTTCTATGGATTGTCCATGATTTTTGTGATATCGTAAGACGATTTGTTTTGTTTGTTCCGCTGTTGTACGGCACTACGTTGCCTGGCGGAAGGGCATGTGATCAGACACACAGTATCAGGGTTCAAGAGTGGTATGTTGGTCACATGTCCATCCGCCAGGCAACATAGTGCCGTACAAGTAGCGCGAAAAACAAACTTCAAAGTAGCGCTACGCGTTCAGCGGGAGTCGTGGATGACGAGCGGCAATAAACTTGCGAAAAGCAAGTTATGCTCAACTCCACCGGTGGATTCTGACAGCGTGGAAAAGTGTGAAAACATCCACGATCACCGACGGATTTCGAAGGGCTGGACTGCTGCATGATGGAGAGGAGGACACCGCCACGGCCCTTCTGAGGGTGTTCGACTCTGACACTGACAACGAGGATTTATTTGGTTTTGAAAGTGACAACGAAGGAAAGAAGCTGAGAGTGGATGACTAAGCCACCCTGAGCCTGTTCGTTTCCGACACTGGAGAAGAGGACTTTGGTGGTTTTAATGTGCAGGAAGATGGTGGTGAATGACTGACTTTTCTTGAGCCTAAAAGGTAGTCCGAATCTATTTTTCTGGTGTGCTGTAGGTTATTGTTATGTACTACATTTGTTACTCATTTATGAAGCACAGTACATGTTTCGTACTTGTAATTACCGCTACTTTTACATATACCTAAAAAGTTGTGCAAATATGTACCCATAACTTGTTTTTCAAAATATTAATAAAAGGGGTGTGTCTCCAAACAGCCATCTCTTTCCTGACAATTCCCTTTGTGCATATTCTCTTACATATGATAAGTCAACATTGAAACACCTGCGGCTTTTAGTCAGTGCGGCTAATGTATGTACAAAACAGGATTTTCCCCTGATTTTAGCTTGTGCGGCTAATATTCAGGTGCGCTTTGTAGTCCGGGAAATACGGTACTTGTATGAACACAAAGCCTGGAGCTTAAACATCTCAACTGCTGCACACTCCACAACTGCTGTGTGTGTGTGTGTGTGTGGGGGGGGGGGGGGCAGAGGGAGTGTTTGCCCAGGGCGCCAAACAGGCTAGGACCGCCACTGGGTCTGGACCTCAAATTGAGAGTTTCAGTGAACAACCACCAAATGCAAATTTAAAATTTTGAATCAGTTCTAGATCTTTTATCTGCTTAATTTGTCCTCAAAATAAATAAATATTAAAAGAAAGAAAGAAAAGGAGGGAATGGGCTTCACAGTGCTATGAAAACTGGTTACCAGTCAATTGCTCAATTACTTTCAAGCATGTGACAATGAAGGCTTGTGTATAAAAATGGCTGTAATTACGCAGCACTTCATGTAAAAACCTTTGTACAACCTTTTGAATTAAAGCTGAAAGTCACATCTGGAGTTTGGTAATGTACAGAGGTAAAACTACAAAACACGTCATTAACAACATGCTTATGGACCTAACTGTATGCGTCTAAACTGTGTAGTGCCTCAGGCTATACATACTGTAGCGTGCGGCAGGGTTCATGATTAATATTTTCCCTACAAGAATAAAATGTATAGAAACCTTGGGAATAGGCACTTGCTAAACTTGCACTTGCCAACTGTGTACGGCACACTTAACTTTCCTTTTTATTAACGGTCTTCATTTTATGATCTGTGTGATGGATGCATGCAACCACACAACTGAGATACTTGGGTAATATTCATTTGGTCTTTTGTCTTATGTTTACGTTATGCTCTAAAGCTTCTGTGATCATAAATGCAGAAGCCAATAAAGTGGACTGGACCATCTATTGTGATCATGCAGGGGGAATGGGGTTCTTCTTGAATGATGGTTAGCTGTTATCTCTTTAGTTTTCACCTTTGGTGTATATAATGGTTTATTCATTTGCTATATAACTGGAGCTGTTTCTCATTTGGGCAGGTCAGTTTGTTGAGCTATGTTTTTGTTAAGTGACTTTTGAGTAGCGTTCTGTTAAGTTAACCTCTTTTATGGGCCCACTTGATTCTTAAAAACTTTATTTTTTGTTATTTTGAATTTTTGTAATCGTCTTGTCCTTTTTGGGGGTATAATAAAACCCATTTTTTTGAAGATTACATTTGTGCCTGTGTGTTCCTGGCTGCTTGGATTATGACAATCTGCCACTCGATGAGACAAATAAGGATCTGCTCTTTCTGGATTTTATTGTTAATTTACAGATGTTAAGTTGAATTCAGTTTTGAGACACCGTTTCTGAGATCCTTGAAAAATGTATGTTTCAGAGCAGCTTCTCAGGATCCTGAAAACATTTTACAGTCTGGTCATGAAAGAGGCATTTAACACGATGTAAAGTACAATTGCAGATATTTAGCTAAAAGCACAAACAAAATAAATTTCTCTTTAATCGGGTCACACGTGCAACTTTACATATGACTCGCACTTTGACAGAATAAAGAGTTAAACCGCACTTCTACAGCTGCAGGTCGGACTTGAAATGAAACCAGTTTGAGTCACTTACGTTGAAAAACATCCTTTTAATAGGTCCGTGCCACACACTAGTGAAAAATAAAGCTCCTACAAAAGAATGATACTTTTATTCCACAATATCTTAAATAAAGTAACTTCAAGTACTTTTGACTTGGGTACAAAAAAATCTAGCTGCCTCCATCAGGCCACAACACACAGCAAGGTTCAACACAGTGGTTAAAAATGGCCTTAGGTCCTTGTATTGTGGCAGATTGTGAGGAAATGTATCATGGAAGCATAACTGAATGCTTGTTGTTCCTTTTTTTCTCTTTTTAGTTATTATTATTTATGGGGAGGAATGATTTCTGTGTCACTGTCCAACTTTGGAGGCCTTGTTGGATTGAAATCATATAAAAAAATAATTATCATAAAGAATGAAAACTAAAAACGATAACATCCCCTACATGCCCCTGTTGGAAGGGTAGGCACTACCAAGATTAAGGATACCACAGTGTTTGCAGAGGATATGTATATACTGTACAAACAATATTTATGATAATGTTTTCATCACGTTCACTAAAATAGAATGCTACAATCATTCTAAGGCATAAACAATATCTTAATATTCTTAAACAATTTTTACACATTGTTCCAAACAAGACATAATATAGACATTAATAAACAGTATATACACATGAATCACCACAGCCTAACTGTTCCTCTGCAGTTGCTGTAAATAAATGCAGTTTTACAGATCGAACAATTGAATACAGTCCTCCGATGCCCCAAAGCACTGAACAGTGTAAACAGCTCTTTTTTTTTTCTTTTTTCCTTTTCTTTTTTTTTTGTCTTGGCTTTGTTTGATATTTGGGAGAGAGAGAGAGAAAAAAATTATAACACAATAACACATTCCTTTTCAGAAGTCAAAGCAGTTCGGCTGATTCCTCCTTTTTCATAGAAAATGAAGTGGACCTTGATTCATAAATAATTATTACAAAATTAAATACATTCACTATAATACGATTAAATAACAAACGAACAAAAAAACCCAAATAAACAAAAACAAACTATTTACAAGTAGTGGAAAGTATTCTAGCGCAGACACATCATTGACATTTTTGAGGATTCATTCAGTGCAGTGTTCTGAGACAGGGAATGGTATTGCACTATGACACCCCATTTCTCTGGGACTCTTTGGGGCTTTCATCCCTGTTGTAATAAATCCAGTGCACCTAAACAACTTTTTATTTTTCAAGGTGACACCTCTCCTAAGCACACCACAGGTTCCTTATTAAGGAGTTGGCTTCTTCTTCTACCATCCTGCAAAGCCACGTTCTCCATCACAAAATAAAAAGTAACACCTGGTGCTCCGGTACGAAAAGTTGAATGGGTGTATTGGAGAAGAGTCTGAACAGACTTTTTTTTTTTTTATCTTAAGTGTTTTTTTTATTTGTTTTAGTTTGTTTGTTTCAGAAGCTCAGTCCAGCGCTTCTCAAAGAACTTCCTCATGT